ATTGCAATTACTTCTTCTTTTCCCTGCCGTATAATCACTCATTATAACTCAAAAAGATTAGTTTAATTGAATTATATTTGAAGAAAAAAATTATGAATACTCTATTGCTGGGTTAACGTGAAAAAATGTATTCATTTTAAAATTTAGAAAGTACTTGCCTGAGCCAACCATTTATTAAGAACTTTGTTTAGGCAGTATCCGTTGACGGCTTGATTCACCGCTCGAGTGTGCAGCTGTTTCAGACCTGAAGCCATTGACGATCTGTTGAGGTCGGATGGTATGACGTCTTGTACTTACACGCTCGACACCTTGGCACATCCGGTAGCAATCCTTAGAGCACTGTTTTGGATTGTTTGAATGTTGCGCTATTGGGTGTCGCTTAGGAATGAAGTCCAAACAGGGGCGGCATAGCTCAGTACAGAACGACTATGTGGTGATGAGCGTCTTTTTATCATTTCCCTAGAAGGTACCTGCAGAGCTTTCATGACTTTATTATTGCTTTCCCTTTGATATAGGCGGCGTGCTTGGTGAAGTTGAGCAGGTTATCAAAAACTACCCCCAATATTTTGCCTGTCTGCCATTAAGATAGTTACCAAGCCAGTGCTTGGTAACATTAGGCAATGTGTAGTTCATAATATCACTAAGCAAAATCGAGTGGTTCACTGCTGGTGGTCGATTTTGGTTGAGGACATTTGCAATGTATGTTGTGATATCATTTAGCGCCGTTGTTGTACTGCGCACTTTGTGAAAACCATGCTCGTGGTTAGCTAAATGAAGATGTTCACTCATGGTCGGCAGCAATAGTGCTTCCGAAACTTTAGCAACAGGTGATAAGAGGGAGATGGGGCGGTATGATTCTACTAGATGAGCTGGTTTTTCAGTTTTTGGAAGTGGGGTTATACTACCAAATCTCTACTACCTTCCAAATCTGGGCTACCTTCCAAATCTCTGGGACTACTAGTGAGTTTACTGATTGAGATAGGATTGTTGCCAGATAATCCAAGGCTATTCGGCCTCAAAGGTTATGGCTATATTACCAGTTTTATTATTTGATCTAGAAAGAGTGTTTATGGTAATCTAAAGTTTATGCGAACCAGGGGGCTGATGCTGAGAGCCGATAGCGAAATAATTGCGTATCACAATTAATTCCGATCGTTCGCCATTTTCTAATTCTGTGAGTCGACACGTACCGAATCGTTTTTTTTTTTTTGTTATAGTGTTGTAAAGTGAAAGCAAACCAACACTGTATAAAAGGGTATATAAACTATATGTTTGGTGTATATTACCAAGGTGTATTTAATAAGGTGTATGCATCAGATACAACAACAAATATTTTACAAAAACAACACTGTTGTTATAGAAATTAAATTGTCATGCTGACAATAAGTTTTTGACAAAAATAAACAAAAACAATTTTTAATTTATTTTTGTCAAGAACTTTTCTTTGAGGAATAATTAATGAATTTGTGTATTCTTGGGTTATAAGCGGTTTTAGGTCAGTGAAAAATAAAGTTTAAGACCTGGTCGCGATTAATTTTAAGTTTCCCACATGCAGCCCATGGCTCCTTGTGGTGTTGTTCATATTGTGAATTATAATCTATTTTTTCTATGGAAATTGTGTTGACCGTATAAATAGGCGTATTTAACCTCCGCCTAGGATTGTGACAAGCACCAAGGGGCCGATTCCAATATAGGCTAACATCTCCTCGATTTTATGAGTAGCTGGGATTTATGGACAGATTTCCACACAACATAAAATATGTGGATCAATCGGCGAACGGGGTTATAACTGATTTAATCCTAGGTTTCCTTTCCGTCCGCCTCTATGAATGTAGTTTTCTTTTTATTATTAAAAAAGCCTAAATTTAAAGACCATTTTTGAAATCGAAATGTTATTGAAAATGTTTTTGACAATTTACAAACAAAAAAGAAAAAAGTTTTAAACCATATGATGGTCACTTACACCTTATTAAATACACCTTGTATATTACAAAGAATTAACAATTATTGAAAGCAAATAAAATTTTAAATTTGATGGATCCGATTATATTTTATTTTTCAGTGTAGTTTAACGGATGTAAGAAAACAAATACGTATGAAAAGTGATCCCTTAAAATTGGCAGACTCAAATGTTTAATTTTTGGCATTTATATATTTGTAAAGCGTTTCCGACTACAAAAGAAGCCTTCAGATCAGGGACCGTAACGGTTATAACTTATATCAAATCTGGTAAAAAATAACTGTTATTATGTGACCTAAATAAAAAAAATCCACTTTAATTATTTATTTTTTAACGGAAAAAATAAACGTTGATTTTTAACTGTTAAAAATGATTTTTATTTTTTCTGTCAAAAATAAGTCTTTTTGGGATTTTTATTTTTTTCGTCAAAAATAAAAGTCTTTTTGGGACTTTTATTTTTTCCGTCAAAAATAACAGTCTTTTTGGGACTTTTATTTTTTCCGTCAAAAATAAAAGTCTTTTTGGGACTTTTATTTTTTCCGTCAATAATAAAAGTCTTTATGTGATTTTTATTTTTTCCGTCAGAAAATAAAAGTCTTTTTACGTAAATAAACATATAGAGTTTGGTACCAGTTATATAACCTTTGACCTAATAGTCAGGGGAATGATTCTTTAATTTATATTCATGATTTGGTACACTAGACTATTTTTTAAAAATTTATAACAAATATTTTTTACCTTTGATCTTGATTACTTATGTGTACACTTATTGTAATAAGGACAGAGATTTATAAATTGTAATTTTATAACTGATTACAAGTTGTATAAACTTCTTTACATAAAAAGAGTTTTATTTCCTGACGGAAAAAATAAAAATCCCAAAAAGACTTATTTTCTGACGGAAAAAATGAAAATCCCAAAAAGACTTTTATTTTTGACGGAAAAAATAAAAGTCCCAAAAAGACTTATTTTTAACGGAAAAAATAAAAATCGCAAAAGACTTTTATTTTTGACGGAAAAAATAAAAATCATTTTTAACAGTTAAAAATCAACGTTTATTTTTTCCGTTAAAAAATAATCCTTAACATGGGAACTGAGAGTGTTTTCTCAAGATCACTCAATATCCTTAATGGGCTCCTCAGTACGAATCTATTGGTATATGACACTATTGGTGCCTCATGTCTCTAACATGAAGATTTTTTTGTTCGCATTTTAAAAAATAACTGTTATTTTCGGTCCCTGCTTCAGATATGTTATTAAAGAAATTAAATCCAACGGAGCAATTTCAACAGTATACCACCAAAAATACAACTGGCAGCAGCTTTGTCCCTTCTGGCATCTGGGGGCTTCCAACGCAATGCTGGAAATGATTTTATTATTGGTGTAAGTCGAAATGCAATTAGTAGAATACTTCAAAAGTTCACTTACATTTCCTATTTTCTGTCTGCGATAGTGGTGGCAATATATTGAGTGGAAAATCCCCTTTTTATGTATACTTTTTTAGCGCTAAATTGTTTGCGATAACTCATATGCTATCGTGCAAAATAGCGAAGGCTTGCGTGTGACAGTTAAGCGTTATCGCCTCATAGCATACGAAATTCCGATACACTTTAAGCGATATCCTCTGTCAGAATACCAAAAGTACGAAATTTCGATCGTAAGTCCATAATTCCGAACGGTGTCGACTCTCAGCATCAGCCCCAGCTTTGCAGTTATTTAAGTGTTCTACCCATTTTACACAACGGTGCTGGTTGATAAGAAAGTTAACTTCTTCCGTCAGGGTAGCAATCTTTGGGTCATCCGTAAAGGTTTGGATTGCATTGTCAACATCATTTGTGAAACCATGCCAGTTGGTTTTGCTGTAATTCACAAATGTGCGCGTATACGGCTCCATAAAGTCGCTAGGTTTCTCCACAGAGATCACTATGGGGATGTGATCTGATGTGTATAAAAGTCGCTAATTACCATTCTACTATCACCTACCAACCGATACTGTTTACTGGCGGAATGTTTACATCGAAGATCTCTTTATTGCCTCCTGTTTGAATAGGTAATCGTCATTAAGATTGAGTGGAAGGTTCATGAGGCGGAAGCAGACATTACGATTTATAATGAAAGCCATGGCTCCTCTGACTATCTTGTCTATTATGATATAATTTCCATGAGAACTAAGTCTGACCTCGCCCGTAAGTTTTGTCTCCTGGATAACAGCTATTATGATATTGCATGAAATTGGTGTTCTCCACAATTTTGTTTCTAAGACCATTACAGTTTAACTGCAAGGTCTTAAAATTGTGGAGATCATCAAATCCATTCACAGTATTGTGGATTATATTGGTAGATTATAACCAGCATTATTATTATCATTTTTGGTTTTTTTTTTACATACCATCTGTTAATTTGAAATTTCCATCCTTTGAAAGAAAAGATATTTGATTCAAATCCTTGTTTGTTTTGATAATTATTTTATTTCGCATTTAACCGTACGCATATACATTTACGTCTCTCTTAATTCTGGATTCATTTTCGAGTTTTATTTTGTTTGTGTATTGTTATTTAATGAAAAATGATTAAATAGACGATTTAAGTTTTCTTTTTTATTTTTATTTTCATAAATTGCAAAATACTGCTGGATACGATTAATATAAGTATGTACGTGTTACGTGTATATCTGTAAGATTTTTTTTTAAAATAATGTAAAATGAACGACAAGCTTCTCTAATCCACTTAATTGTAAATTAAATTACTGTATAGTTCAACTCACCGACATGGTGTTGTTTACTAGTTGGTCTTCACGTAAACGCAAAAACATATGACCTATGTCCATGTTCCCTATTTTCAAACATTTCGATCTATTGTTATACTGACGAAAGAAATACATATATTGCAAATAATAAGTATGTTCCATATTAGGAGTAATGATTAATGGGAAGAATCTATTCTTTGAATAGTTTTATTTTAAATAGTTTTACTTTATTTTGTGTGAGACTATCTACATTCAACTGGATGAATGTGGTTTGTTCTGTTCATGAGTTTGTGTCTACCACCAACCATTGGTATTGGCACTGGTGGTGACTGTATGATGCCCAATGCCACTGCCACTACTATTGCCATTCATTTGGGAGCTTTGCTCGTCCGCAGCCGCTGTCGGGGCAGCTCCTACTGTTGTGTTTGAAGAGATGCGCATGGAATTTATGTTTTGTACAAAACCTTCTAGGGTATGTTCGTCCATATAGGGAGATGTACGATGACTGGCTGAGCCAGTGGTTCCATTCTTATTATTATTTAATATGTTGTTAAAGTCTAAAATTGAGTTATGGTTATCACTTGATGTTACATTTGCAACAGATGTTGTTGGCTGTGGGTGTTGTGTCGATTCAAAATCATACTTCATTGCCGGGTCCAATTCGCCAAGGTTCATATGCATATTGTTATTAGAGAATATATTGGAATCTGAAGAATGGAGAATAACGATGGCTGATTGTCAACTACAAAACTGCTGAATTGTATCAATACTTACCATTGTAGTGATCACGATAGTTTCCTCGAAAATTCGATGGATTATTTTGCACAGTATTTGGCTCAAATAGGCTGTTGGATGATGCTGGTCTATTGCCACCATAAACTGGTGTAATTTCCACGCGATGTGCTTGTGGAGAATTGGCATTGCGAGCGAAATTCGAGTCGCTAACATTATGAATTGATACCTAAAATTGAAACTAAAATTTAATAATTGTATTGTTGAACTGCATTATATTCTTAAAATTGAAGTTTAACTTTGCGGCATGTCAAATAAAAGCTATTGTCTGGTAGAGTTATTGTCTTTTTTGATTTGAGCTTGATGTTCGAAGTTTTGCAATTAATAGGAAAGCCAGAGGGTCCTCTCTGGCTCAGGCATATTGGCCTACAACAATCTACAGTGAATTCCTTCAACAACATGTATTAACATGCATCATGCATCAGCGGGCCTTTCAAATGACTACATATGTAAACCAGTGAACGGAGCACAACCATCATCGAACTCTAACATTCTGCGGATCTATATTTCGAACCTGATCTTTACCTATTTCAATGCGGTCCATTTTTTGAGATAAGTTGGTACATCTCTCTTTCGGCCGAATTTTTAAAGTTCTGTTTTTGGAAAAGTTCAAAATCCGTATCAGACCGTTTACTGAATCGGAAAAAAGCTTACTGATTACGGGTCCCATATGAATCAAATGAAATTTGATTGTACAAAATTTCCACTTTCGGATGAGTATTACACTGAAAACGTACATACTAAATACACTGAAAACGTACATACTAAATAGACAAAATCGTGTCCACGACAGAGTGGTATACGATCCGAAACGACCCGAGTCTTACTCGGCCAGCATCTGTCACCTCAGCCCATTGTGTAAAAGCAATAGGGCTACTACAACAACATACAAAAAATATATAGCAATATATATTACGCAAATTCGCGAGTAGAACAATCCTAAAATTATTTTTTGGAAATTCGTGATTGCTCCTTGAAACTAAAAGAAAAATTCAAAAAACATTAAAAATCGAGCTTCAAGAGTTCAGTATCATTTAAAGGCAGATAAATTTTCGAAAAACGATAAACTAAGAACTTAATCCTTAGTTTGTAGGCTTTTATTATGGCACGTATGCCGTGCAATTAATGGCAAAGCCACAAATCGGGATGAAACATTAAAACCCTGGGTTGCCTCACCCTGCTTTTAACCATTTTTTACATTAAAGTAGACACGCATCCACGTAAATAAACTTTGGATCAATACTTCCAAAACTATAAAATTTTTCTTATGTACTTTAATTATTCCGGAGTTATAAACGATCGGCTTCAGCTATGTTAAAAAATTGGCAATATTGTCCATATATATTATAGTTCCAAAATGGAATCCATAGCCCAGAGTGATTACCATCATAACTCATTAAAAAAGCAGCCGAACATGAAGAACCTCAAAGTATAAGTATAAATTTTTCATTCATTATAATTTGAATTAATTTTTGAGTATAGCAGCCTAATGTATTGCGAACATAATAGAAGTTTAGATTTTTTTCAAGCACTTCTATAAATTCTGTTGTGCAATAAATGTTAATGTAGAACGAATACAAAAATCATCTTTTATGAAATATGAACAATTAGTGAAAATTAGATCTAGTAAACCTGGTAACAAGTCTTTGAAAAAAAAAACAATAGTAATTATTAATAACGCAATGTTGTTGGCTATAACAGTCTATTAGTTAGTTAGAGATCTAACAAATCCAAACAATATAACTGGCATATTCCGAATACGTATCGTTCTACGGCAATATGACTTTTATGTATGGAATAAGCTGATGAACTTATAAGGCAGATGCCATTTAGAACACTCACCTCTGTATTAAGATTTTGTCCCGGAATCAAGTTCTTTAAAAAGGAAGCATCGTCGTAACGTATAACACCGGTATTAGGAATACCTTCAAGATAAGAATTATATCCCGTAATTGATGGAGGTGGGGAATCGTCTCCACAGCTATGATGGATGTGTGCAGCTGTTGTTGCTGAAGAGCTGCTTCCGCCACTGCTACCGGCAGTGAATACATCAAAACCATTATAATATTTGGATTGCTGATACTTTTCTTGCAGAGTCATATCGATGCCACCGCCAGTCGTTGTACCATCAGCAACAGCTCCCAAAACGAACGAAGAACTACAAGCTACTGCCAAAACAAAAATAAACATAAAATAAACATTTAGTTAGAACAACAATTACACATTATTTTACCATTATCGGGTTTTGTAATCGGCATTGAATCTGTACCGAAATGCGACCAGTGTTGCTCTTTTGATTTTTGTTTTTGCTGTTGAGCATTTTTGATTTCGCTACCAATGGCTGATATACATTTTTGTGCTGGTGTTGGTCGTTGAATAACGGCCGCATCTCCGGTCAATCCACCGCCTCCTGTCCTTTGGGGACTAACATTTCGGCCGTTACCAACGCTGGTACAACTAATACTTATATTGTTGTGAGTTGTATTCGTAGCGACATTATCATTGGAAAAATACGAAAACGAAGAAGTGCTCATATTTTCTCGTTGTTTTGATGTTGATGTTGTTGTTGTAATGTTGCTCTGGCTGCTTCCGCTGCAGCCTCTTGTGGTGTATAGAAATTAACATTGCCAAATTGTCTATAACCGCCCAGTACTAAGCCATTTGTTACAGCCTGATGTAGGGCCGGATTACGGATGGTATACATACCGTTTTCGTTTTTAATTATGGCGGCGGGTTGATCTACGGGCAGAGGAGCTGCAATTGGATATGCATCCAATGGGCGACCTAAAATTACAGAAGAGACTTATTAGCCCATATATCTATGATTAAAACTGAAAATAAAAAGAAATTACTAAGAATTCGAAAAACGTTTTTTTCCTTTTATAACAACTATTTTTTACCCCTGACTGGCCCACATGTGTTGTGAAATCTGGTTTTGCTGCTGGTGTTGTACCGTTATTAATTTCTTAATGTCTATTTGTTCTTTTAATTCTTCTAAAGTCAAATATCATTTTGCAAGTTGTTTTTGAAAGCGAAAGTTGTAAATTTGTGATATTAAAAATAATAAAACATTTAAATTAAAAAACATAGTGCGCTGTGTATGTGAATATACCCAAAATAACAGTTACTTTTGAAAGAAAACACTATCAATTCTCTTATGAAGACTTATTATTCAACAAAAAAATTAAACGTAGGTATTTAAAAATGTTATTATTTTATTTTTTTCGGTAAAAATTAAATAAACTTAAGAAAATCATTTCATAA